AGGATGGACCTGGCTTCTATACCACCAGGTGTCTCGCCCCCATGATGTCTGAAGTCATCAGAATTCTCCAGGTTGGTATTGCTCTCAGAATGTTTGAGGCATCTTCCACCCCTTATAGTCCTCCAAACTGGTAATGTCAAGATGAAGAACAGGCTTCCTTTTAATAGACTAACCCCTGGCTCTTCTCCAAAAAGACCCTTTCATGCCCTCCCTTTCTGCACAGTGGTGGGAAGTCATGGGCTTATGCCGCACTAAAATGGGCAGAATTTTAGCTCTGCCCTCTTAGTTTCCTCCCTGCTCCATTAGGCCAAAGGCCTCCTGACATGCTCTTCTATGCTGTTTCCCCATCCCCCTTGAGGCAGAGACCATCCAGAACAGGGCCCATGTGGTCTGACTGGTGCTGCTTCTGCTTCTGCCACACGCAGACCCCTCCAGTGGTCATACAGGTCACTCACAGGCAGGAAAGGGGGCGGCCCCTCCTCGCCAGGCACTGTCACACACAGGGATCAGAGCTTGGCAGCACTGCTCCTTGGTAATGTCTCTTCTGTCGGTCACGGGAAACAGCCCTGCCAGCCATGGAATCTCGTTATTGTTGAGATTCAGAATTGCAGACAAGAAGGAAATGAATAATTTGTTCATCTCTAAACGTCCTTAAAGTGCTATAGGTTAGCAAATGCTCAGCCTATCCCCTTGAGGCTCCCAAACGTCTTTGTGCTTCCCTGAGTGACAGTCCCAGTCCTAGGCCTGGCCAGGTGGCACCCAGAAGAAAAGTGGGCGTCGCACAAGGCTATTTCTGAGGGCCAGCAGAGGGAGCCCTTGTGGGGGCTTGGGGATGGCCGTCTCCTGAGGTCCCTGCTTTACTTCCCACTCAGGAAGGAGTTGACCCTAAGAAGCTGGATTCCCTTACCACGAGCTTTGGCTTCCCTGTGGGCGCTGCCACACTGGTGGATGAAGTTGGAGTAGATGTAGCAAGACACGTAGCAGAAGATCTGGGCAAAGCCTTTGGGGAGCGGTTTGGAGGTGGAAGCCTTGACCTGCTGAAGCAGATGGTGTCCAAGGGCTTCCTGGGTGAGTAGCCTCAAGGAAACATAACTAGCATTATTAGTTACAAAGTTTCCTGAGACCACAGAGCTACAGAAGGACCATATGGAAGAGTGCATTTCCTAAACATAGAGCCCACTGTCCTAGGGAATTTCAAAAGTGATTTCAACGTTCAGCCCTTGGCTCGGAGGAGGCCAAGGTGCAGTTTCCTTTGGTCGTCCCAAACCTGGGTCCATCTGACACCAGCCACCCCACCATGCCGCTGAACCTCAACCCCAACGAGATCAAAGCTGTGTATCTGAGGTGCACCAGTGGGGAAGTCAGTGCCACGTCTGCTCTGGCCCCTAAGGTCGGCCCCCTGGGTCTGTCTCCCAAAAAGGTGGGCAACCACATCACCAAGGCAACCAACAGGCTCAGATCGAGGTGGTACCTTCTGCCTCAGCCCCGCTCATCCAAGCCCTCAAGGAACCACCAAGAGACAGGAAGCAGAAAAACATTAAGCACAGTGGAAATAGCACCTTTGATGAGATTGTCAACATTGCCCGACAGATGCAGCACCAGTCATTGGCCAGAGAACTCTGTGGAACCCTTGAAGAGAACTTGGGGACTGCCTAGTCTGTGGGCTGCAATGTTTATGGTTGACACCCTCATGATGGTCATAGATGACATCAACAGTGGTGCAGTGGAATGCCCAGCTAGTTAAGACCCGCTGAGGAAAATACTTCAGTAAAGGGTCACTTGACAACCAAAAAAAAAAGATTTCAGACAACCTCTTCTTAGGCTGGGCCCGTAGATTATGGACAAAAGGCAGAACTCTGGCCTTCTGAGGCCCTGCCATTGCCCAAGTTTTGCAGGATTGACAGGCATTTTCATCCTGCCCAAGGCCTCTGATACATCTGTGATACTGCAAGAGCAAGCTCTGCGTCCAGGCTTGACCATGTTGTCTGGCCACCTGTGTAGAGAAGGTAAAACCTCTAAATACAGAGTATAGGATTGAGGCCCACCAGAGAGGTGGCTTTCTGTCTTGGCAAAGCAGCTTTAGCAAAATCAGCACTAGGTCCTGGGCATCGGGCCTGGCATTGCATATCTGGACATTAAAACTCACCCACGTGGCCTTTCCCATCCACATACATAGACTCCCAAGGTCCAGGAAATACAAGATCTTTTTTCCTTCTCTGCCAGCTCTTCTGAGAAACCCTCAATTTCTAGGGCTGGCTAGATATACAAATTCAAGAATGCAGATGAGAGGCTAGAGCTACACAGCAGACTAGCAGGGAACAGAGCTCTCAGGCAGGGCTCTGAGAATCTGTAACTCCCTTTCCTTGCTTCTTTTAGGTCGCAAGTCTGGGAAGGGCTTTTACATCTACCAGGAGGGCGTGAAGAGTAAGAATTTGAATTCTGACATGGATAGTATCTTGGCAAGCCTGAAGATACCTCCTAAGTCTGAGGTGTAAGTTAACCGAGTGGCTAATAGTGTGGAAACATGTTTCTCATCAGCCTAAGCTTCTCAGCCCTTCTTCCATCTCCTTTGTTGTGATCACCATACCTGACCAGAAAGAACACTCCAGATGCTTTGTACATTTTGCCCTTCCACATGCCACCTTGTCCTCTGCCGGGCTTCAGGGTGAGAGCTGCAGCTGAGCTTTGTTTGGGAAGACCCCCGCTCCAGCCTTCCCTCTGAAGGTCCCAGAGAGCAGCTTGAGACGATCCTCCTAGGCCCCTTCACCCTCCAAACCCTTTACGATCGTGTGTAATTGACAGCTGCTGGTTCCAAGAGATACTGTCTACTCTGCCAGACCCTGTTCTAGGTGCTTAATTTCAGGTTCATTAGGGCGAGTAGCTGTCCGCTTTTTCCAAGGGAAAGGCTGGCCTCCTGGTGGCACCCTGTCTGCAGAGTTGGTCCTTGGAGCTCGAGCAGCACCAGCCTCATTCGTGTTCTGCTTCCACGGCTCCTGCACTGTCCCTCCCCTTCTACTCCTCCTCTGCCTGAACATCTCTCCCTGTTGGCAGCTCCTCTGATGAAGACATTCAGTACCGCCTGGTGACAAGATTTGTGAATGAGGCCGTCATGTGCCTGCAGGAAGGGATCTTGGCTACGCCTGCAGAGGGAGACATCGGAGCGGTCTTTGGGCTCGGCTTCCCACCCTGTCTAGGAGGTTGGTCTTGCTGGTTGGGAAGGTAGCTGGCTTCATCCTAGAGCTCGAGTTGCTGTCTCCTTCAACAAAGTCCTGTTTCTCCACTTAGGGCCCTTCCGCTTTGTGGATCTGTACGGCGCTCAGAAGATAGTGGACCGGCTCAGGAAGTATGAGGCTGCCTATGGAAAACAGTTCACCCCGTGCCAGCTGCTAGTTGACCACGCTAACAGCCCTAACAAGAAGTTCTACCAGTGAGCAGACCCTCACACCCTGCTCGCTCGCATGCTGAGCCCAGCTGCCAACAGTGGTGGTTCTCCAGCAGAGCGGCGTCTACATTTATCAGAGTAACCAGAAGGAAAACAGACTCTGGCAGTGGGTGTGCGCCTTGATTAAAGTGCCTTTAGCTATGACCGTCTCGCCCTCCTGGTGAAGTGTTTAGCCAGTGGTGGTGAGGGCAGTTCCACGCCCAGCCAAAAAGAACAATAAAAACCAAACTCTTGTCAACCTCTCTCCCTGCCTGTACCTTTTTCTTCTGTCTTGGCCTTTCTGCTTTAAACCACTCCTTCAAGTAGCTGGAACAAAGCCCTGTGCTTTGGGGTATGAGTGTGTGGGGAGAATTCTAGGCAGCACCTTAAGAGAGAGACTGATGATAGAAAGTGGAACTTTATGAGCCTAAAGCCTTTTTTAAACCTGACTGTATTTCAGTGCTTGAGCTGGGCTTCTGCTGACAGTGGGGAGGAGGCCCTGGCTAAGCAGAGCAGTGGAAGTGTAACGGGTGTGGAGGACCAGGATACAAGAGAGACTTCTTTCCCCAAACTGCATTTCCTTGTTGCACAATTTTACCCCATTCTTTCTTGGTGTGACTCATTCACATGTGCTCCTCAGGGTGTCTGTGGGAACACTGGGGTTAAGTAGAGGAGATAACATTTTCCTGGCCAATGTGTCCTGCACGTCTTGGCAGCCCCAGAGCATGGAAGATGGACAGTGCCCGCACGATGATCAGAGACCGCATGTGGGAGCAGTACAGGAACGGCAAGTCAACCCACCACCACCTCTGCTCCGAAAGGGCTGCTCTTCCCGTCCCCCTGCCCTCTTGTGTGAAAAGTTCCTACACTCGTGTCCTGGCAGAAGCAGCACCCAGACTGGGTGCACAGCTTTGAGGCTCCTAACTGGGTCTGGCAAAAGGATCCATACCGAGCATGTGCAGAATCGTAATTGAAGTCCCATCACATGGCACCCTGAGCTTCGAGAGAGATGGCTCCTGCCTCTGCTCTGGTTGCAGGTACCTCAGCTATTCCCTGGGTGCCAGCTGTTGTAGGATTGGCAGGCAGGGCCTAGCTCTGGCCCTACTAAACACTCACAGCTGGTGGCTAGGAGACCAGACTCAAACCAAGTCATCTCTTAGTTGGGACTTTCAGATGACCAGTAGAAGGCAGAGTTCTGGTCCTCTACACTAAGGCCATTAACAGCTTCTAAATGTGGGGGTCTGAGAGAGCCTCAAGGCGAGCATTCGGCCAGTGCAGGAAGTTAAACTTGGGCCCTCCCTGGCAAATGGCATGGAGCTTAAGTCAGGTCTTTCTGCTCAGCAGCATTAGGTAGATGTGAGTTACGCTGAAACATCAGTGGGAGTTGGCAGGTTCCGGTAGGGTAGGGGCTGGTGAGGGGCTTTCGGAAGGGAATGAGGGCCAGCACTACCAGCTGCCTCTGGAACATACGAACGAGCTGCGTGCACACACCATTCCAAAGACCTTCCGCCCGGAGCATATACATTATGCCTGTCGGTCCCCATGGCCTCCAAAAGAAGAAAGGAGCTGACGCCCAGAATTCCACTTGCACTATTCTTCAGTGGTCTAGCATTTATTTCCCTAGTCCTCAAGGATTCATTAAGTGACTGGCAAGGAAACCAAATGTCTCAGTGTCACAGTTTCTGTGCTCTACTTCCTGACTCCCCTTCCCTCAGAGCAGAGGCAGCCTGCCTGGGGCATGAGCTCCAGCATGGCTTCGCTACTCAAGACAGAAGAATGGAGAAAATAAATATCTAGGTAGGCTAGGTAAGGCAGGAGAGAAGGCTGGTGCCTCAGGCCTGATGCCAGTGGGCACAAGCAGAAGAATCAGTGTGGCTCTGGGTGGGTGAGTAGGGAACAGCACCGGGGGATGGGTGGTTGTATACATTGGCCAGCCTGCTCTGGTTGGTGCCAAGCAGATCTCCAGGCTCAAGATCTAGGCCACACAGACCTGAGTGGAAACAGTGAACAAGCACAGGAGGACTGAGCTCTAGGAGGAGGTGGAAAAGGCAGGTTTTCCCAAGCTACTGTGCTTGCTTTCTCACCCGTCCCACCTGCGCCAGTGACAGAAAACCAGAGAAGGACACACCCAGTGTTGGCCGGAGTCAAGTGATGGGGGTGGGAGACCGGTGGAAGTGGCAGTGATTGAAGGCCACTTGCCTCTGAATGAAGGACCTCAATCTACCTGCTCTTCCACAGACAGTCTTCGCAGACAGGACCCAAGCCGGCAGGATGGAGGGCTAGCTGCAGGGAGCTCAGGGCAGGGCCAGGGCATTAGAGACGCCAGGGGGCATCTGCCTCCCTAACCAGGCAAGCAGGTCAACAGCAGAGCTCTTCCAAAGTCGTCACCCACGAGCCAGAACCCAGAGGTGCCTCTGAGGTGCAGTGGCAAGGCATGTAAATGATACACCCGTGCTCAGGGCCAGGGACCTCATTTGTGGTGGAGCAGAGCGGGGGAAGGAAGGGCATCCCAGAGACAGGGAAATCGGCACACCGACTCTGGGGCAGCTTAGCCAAAAGCCCACATAGCACAGAGGAGAGAGGGCACTTAGGAATTTGTGCTTAAATTACGGGCCACCTCCTTCCCTTTAACCTGAACCTACATGCTTGAGAAGTGCAAGATGTCTGTGAAGCTCTGTAGCAGGGCACGGGAAGGTGTCAGGTCTTTTGACTCCCCTCATGGGAATCGCAGCAACGTGTCACCAGGCCAGGGTGGCGCTGGTGCCTCCAGCCCCCTCTCCACGTCCTCTACACACTCAAAGGCAAGACGTCCCCATGCAGGCATCCGGCCCCAGAGGACTCCATTTCCAAGTGTGTCTCCCTTGGACTCACTCTGAGTGGCTGCCTAGCAGCCTCAGTCTTGGCATAGATTCTCCCCACAGGCAGGACCCTCCTCTGGGGGTGCTGTCCCCCTGCAGAGCCAGGGCTGGCCCCCAGGGCCTCTGTGCCAGCATTCCAGTTGTGCAGCTACAAGCTGGGAAGGTCAGACCTTGGGCCGCCAGCCTTTGATGAACTGCATGATCTTCTTGACCTGCAGCTTGGTGAGGTGGAAGTCGTCTGCCAAGATGTCCTCACTGAGCTGCACGAAGATGCTGCCATCGATGCGTTCTCGGGCAAAGAAGCTCACCACATCCTCTGAGAGCCCAATGAAACGCAGACTTCGAGAGACCTCCTCCAGGGAGAGCGCAGACAGGTCAGCAGGGGGCTGCCAGGGGGAGGCATCCCGGCCTCCCCAGCCTGTCGCCCCATCCCGGGGACTGGCAGGAGGCCCTTCTAGGCGCCCTTGGGTGAGAAGGAGTCGTGCTCCGCCTGCCTCGGGCCCCTGCAGGGCCACTGGTGACAGTGGGGCAGGAACCTGCCGCAGCACCAAACCTTCGGGCTCAAAGGCCTTGGAGGGTCCAAGTGGCGAAAGGCAGGGTCCAGGCCCGGATGCCCCCATAGCTCTGGGCTCCTGACAGCGCAGCAGCTCAGGCTCCGGGGAGCTGCCCTGCCCCAGCTCAAAGGGATCGAAGGGCTCCGGGGCTGCTTCCTGCCACTCAGAGGAAGAGGAGGAGGAGGTGGGGCAGGAAGAGGTGGGAGCAGCTGAATAGGCCTGGCCTGGCGAGCCTGGGCCTGGGGAATAAGCAGGGCTGGAGGTAGTCAGGGGACCCGAGGTGGCTGTGGGCCCAGAAGAGGAAGCCGCTGAAGGGCCTGAGGGGTAGGCAGGCCCGGAAAAGGGATTGAGAGCTCCAAACGGAGCAAAGCGTTTCTGGGGGTGAGAGGGCTTGAACAGAGGTGGGCAGCTGTGGTAGGCCTTGACAGGGGTGTCAGCCCCCAAGAGGGAGGCAGCTCGACTGCTCAGGGGCTCTGCGAGGGCCCGGGAGGCCTGGCTTGGCTGTGTGGTTGAGGGCAAGGGTCCCGGGGGTGGGCGGCTGGAAGACTCGCCCACCTTGCAGTCTGCCCAGGTGCATGGGTAGCAATAGAGGGAGTAGGCATCTGGTGACGGAGAGCCACTGCCACTGCGCGAACCTGCCCTGTGGGCAGAGACAGACATGCACAGAAGGGTAAGGCCGAGCAAGAGGGAGATGCAACAAGGTCACACACACGACACAACCACTGCTCTGCCAGGTCAGAGAAGCTGCCAAGCAACACTGGCCTGTACCCCAGCCCCCAAGGCCTGAGACCCTCTGGGATTGCCCTATTCTTTCTTCTGGCATCCCCCACCCCAGGAAAAATTAAACTAAACGGAGTTACATAAACATTTTTAAATAGCAGGGAGCACGCCATCCTGTGGCAGATCCCAGTCTGGAGGAAACCAAAGCAATGCTCCCATTCGATCCACATCCTTTAGGAAAGGGGCAAACTGCAGCAGGAAGGTGGAGAGCAAGGGACTGGGTCCCAGGCCCCCAGACGCCAGACCCCAAAGCCTTGGCTCCTGCTCAGAGACCTGTACCCTCTGAAGCCCCAGGCCTGCAGTCTTCCTCCTCCTCAGCACTGGTGCCCTCCCCACCCTCCCCTGCCCCAGTCCACCTTGGGAGGACCCAGAACCAAGAGAAGGAAGGGACTCACCCATCCTGGAGGCCAGAGGAGTAGTAGGAGAGGCTGGAGCTGGGAGAGTGGACAGGCTGCAGCTTAGGGAAGCGCGGGGGCACCGGGGGGCTGCCCGAGAGCCAGCCGCTGCCATTGCCACCCCGGGGAGGCACAGGAGGGGCATTGAGCAGGCGGCACTCCTCCTTCACCTGCAAGCAGAGGGCCATGACTCACCCCGTCCCCAAGCAGGTGACACTCCTTATCTTCCCTTTCCTAAGCAGCTGGGCAGGGGGGTGTCTGGGACTGACAGTCTGCCCCACTTTGCCAAGAGGCTGCCTTGCCCTACACCCCACTCCTCACCCAGCCCCCCACTCCCCAACTCCTTCCAGTCTCTCCAGCCTTTTTCACTCATGGAGAACCCACAACACCAACACTGTCTCCTATGGCCTTGGAAATCCATCATGAACGTAAGAAAAAGAAAACGGAAGGAGATCAAAAACAATCAGATAAGAAGACCATCCCCTCCTCAAGGAAAAGGAGAGAAAGAAGAGGAAAAAAGTATGGTGGGCAGAGAAAAAGAAGGAAAAGTATCTGCCATCTGGATCCCTTCCTTATAGGTCAAATAGAGTGGATGCCACCGGATGTTAACAGGTGTTGTCCATATTCTGTGGACAGGTATGGTTGGGAAATTCTGCACTGAACACAGATAAACAGGTTTCCTCAGTGCAGGACTTCTCAGAGCCTTTAATATACCCACGCTCTGTGGCTCCCAAGTGAGGAGGGGGAAGCCTGGAAACCATACACACATTTTCTAAACTTATTTCACCATGGAACCTTCTCACTGGCCAACTTAAAGGACTCCTGTTCTGTGGAACCTTCTGGGTAACGCTCTTCTGGGCTCATCCCAAATTCTCTGGGGCTAGGGACCACTGGCCTTTTGTCCCACAACCCCCAGCGCCGCCATCCCTGGTCTGCTTTCCTACAAATGCTCCTGCGTCTCCTTCCCCTTTTCCTTCTGGGCTTCCCGCACACCTCTACCTCCCTCTGCCACACACTCCAGGGGCTGGAGGCCGAGATACGGATGCTGGGCCAAGGAGAGCCTGCTTTTCAGGCCCGAACCTTGCCCCGTGGCGGGCCAGCTCCCTGGAGGACAGAGCGCACAGAGCAGCGCCCCGGCTCCCAGCCTTCTCGCGTCGGCCGCGCCCACTCACCGCCTCGGATTTGGGAGGCACGGGAGGAGGCGGCGCCTCGCGCTCCAGGCGGGGCGGCCCGGCGGCCCCGAAGGAGATGAGGTCGGGCCCCGGGGGCGGCCGGACGCTGCCCTCGGCGAGGCCCTCGGGCGCCTGGTGCGTCCACAGCTCCTCGTAGGGGATCTCGGCGGGCGGCGCGGCGGGCTCGGGCGCGCCGGCCCAGTCGGGGCTCACGTACTCCTGCTCGCCGTCGCCGGAGGAGCCGGGCACGCGGGCGGGCGCGGGGGCGCGCGGGGGCGCGGGCAGGCAGAGGCGCGCGCGGCGCGGGGGCGCGCAGTCGTCGGCCAGCTCGGCGGGCGCCTCACGCACGGCCGTGGAGTACTCGTCGGGGTCGAAGCGCTCGCGGCAGTAGGAGGCGCTGTCGCGCACCAGGCGCTCGACGCGCGGGTCCCCGGCCAGCAGGCCCTGCGGCAGCGCGAAGCGCGGCGTGTCGGTCAGCAGCAGGAAGTGCAGCGGCGCCGGGCCCTCGCGGCGCAGCGCCAGCCCCAGCACCACCGTCTTGGAGATGATGCTGACCAGCTTGTAGCAGTGGCCCTCCCGCACCGGGTGCAGGTCGTAGGGGTTGCGCGGCGGCCGGCTGGGCACCAGCACGTTCACCGGGAGCCGCACGCGCTCGATGATGGCGCGCACCGTGTGCTCGCCCTCCTGCATCTGCAGTTCCAGGGGGCTGCGCGTGCTGAAGCGGCCCTGGCACTGGAAGGGCAGGCTCAGACTCTCGTTGGTGCGGTGATTCATGCAGATGAGGCAGGGCATCTTCCCTTTGATGGGCCTGGCGCCCCCGCCGCCGCCCGCGGCCCCCGCGCCCCCCGGGCCGCCGCCGCCCACCCCGGCCAGCGCCCCGGCTCGGCCCAGCTTGCGCAGCAGGGTGGTGAAGCGCGAGCGCTCCTTGGAGGTCTTGGCGCACAGGATCTCCGCCTGGCCCATGAGAGTGAGCTCGTCGCCCGCGTGCAGCGTAAAGTTGTACACTTCGCTGTCCTCGCTGAACTCGCCCGACACCACCTGGGGATCCCAGAAACAGGGCGAGGCCTTAGCCAGGGCCCCAGGGAAAGCTAACCCTGCGAGGCCCTCCGGACCCAGCGCAGCCCTCCTCTTGGGGCTTTCCCAGGGCCGGGATCAGATCCAGAGCACGGGATGGGGAGATCCGCATTCCATCCCGGAGAGGCCACGGCGGGGGCTCTGCAACCTTGAATGAGTTACCTTTGGGGCTTAAGTTACTTCATGTAATAACTCTTACTTGGAAGAGCTGCTGTAAGGATTAAACAGACTCTATGTACAATGACATATTTTGAAAATATTCAATAAATAGCCATTTTTATCATCTTTACAGTTTGGGCGATATAAAGCTCCACCCATTCAACAAGGCTATTGTGAAGAGAAATGAATTGATGGACAAAAAAAGGGTTTGTAAACAGTACAGAGCTATCTGTACACAAGAGGGGCACTGTTTGCACTGTGTGTCCCATTCCCACCACCCTTACCAGTGGACGCTAGGACAGGCAGCCCTGAAAGGTCTCCAGGTCCCAGCCGTGACCCTCACACACACTTCCTCCTGCTTCACCACCTTTTCCAGGAAGTTCTTCTGTCCAGTGGGTCATACTCCCTGCTCTTCTGACATGGCCAGATTGTGCCAAAGGCCCTCGAGGGGCTGCCAGAAGCCACATGGACACCGTCCGCCTCTTGGACCCTAAGGGCAACCCTCCAACCAGCGTCAGCGGTGCCCTCAGGGAAAGGGGTAGCACAGCGGCGCCATGCTGGTGCGGGAAGGACTGACCTTGACACTGAAGGTGATGGCTTCCATCACAAAGATGCGGTCAGGGAAGACGCTGGCCACCTCCTCCACGCTGCTGAAGTACCTCACTGGCTCCCGCACATCCCGGGCCTGCTCCAGGAGCTTGAACTTCCCTGCACAGGAGGGAACACAGGAGGCTAGGGCAGGCCTGCTTGCTGGAAGCCTGGCCTGTGTCCCGAGAGCCCTCACGGTCCCTACTTCTTGTTACCCTCATCTCAGCCGGCCCCCCTGGAACTCAGGTGGGCAGAAGAGTAGGTTTGCACTAGCATGGGTGGAAGGGGCTGGTCAGCTGGCGTGAGTTTCAACAGGGAGGTAAGCACAGATCCTAGCAACTGGAGCCCAGCCCTCACCCCGTGGAGAGCATGTGGGTGCATGATGAAGCTAGCAGCTGCCTGCCCAAAGAAACCCACACGCAAACTGGTATCCAAACACGTGGACACAGAACTGGCCTCCAACCAGGCATCAGTGTGGCATTGGAGGTGCTGGCTCCTAGCTTGGTCCCAGCCCCACTCTGACTTGTTGTGACCCTAGACAAGTCCCTTCCCCAATCTGGGTCCTCATCTGAGGGGGCTGGAGCAGAGGATCTTGGGCCCTGCCTGGATCTGGCATGCACTGTATCCACCTTGGGTTGCTGACCCACACCAATGCACTGGGCAGAGCAGGGGCCCCGAGAGAGCCGCTCAGACCCCAGCTCTGTTCCCAGACCCTGCCCTGGTCCAACATCTGTCCCACTGTCCCAGAGGCTTCTGACTTGAACCAGCAAAGCCGCTGCCCTCAGATGAGGCTTTCCCAACCTGCAGTCCAGGGCCATGTTTTAGCTGGCTCAGCAGATGTCCCCAGCAGACACAGACTTCAAAGAATGACCCCTTTTATGTGCCTACCTACATGAGGACAAAAACAGCCTGTGAACCCCCATGGCATCTGGATGATGGCCTCTTCTCAGGCCTTACAGAGAAGGAAGAGACTCTTGTATAGGAGAGGGGACAACAGACCAAGAGAAGACAAGGTGACTCTTTAGCTTCTGGAGTCTTCCTGGTGGTTGCTTCAGTCATAGTCCATTCATTATTCATTCCACAGACATTTGTGGAGCCCCCACTATGTGCCAGACACTGGGCTAGACCCGAGAGAGGGTGCAAATCTGGATAAAACAGCCTGCCCTCAAGGAAATTCAGACATAGTCAGTGTGACAGTGAGCACCCAATGATGGCAGATGTGACAAGCGCCACAACAGACTCACGAGGAAAGAGCTAGAGAACCGCTGAGTTGCGGGAAACCTGCCTAGCAGTCTGAGGGGACCTCGAGAATGAAAACAGTTTTATAGAATGGACATTCCATGTGGAAGAAACAGCATGAGCAAAGACACGGAGTCACCAAGGCCTACGGCCTGCCCAAAATGGTGAGTGCCCAGGGGGCAGGACATGGGGGACGGGGGCGGGGCAGGGGCGGGCTCCACAAGACAGCAACTGGGTTACGAAAGGCTGTGAAGGCCATACGGTAGGACCTCATTCCATAAGAAATGAGACCCACTGGAGTGTTCTGAGCAGGGAAATAGCAAGATCTGAGTTGAATCTGTAAGATAACAGGAGACCATTCAGGTAAATAACCCAGTGAGGCGTTCTGGAGAAGAGCCAGGGCAGAGGCTGAGGGAAGAGCAAAAAGGAACAGACCAAGAGATGCGTGCAAGAGAGACTCACCAGACTGGGGTGACTGACGAGCGGTGGGCAGGAGAGGAGGGGACTCGGGCCACCAGCCTGATCAGAAATGGAGACGGCAGAGCTCTTAACCAAAACTGGGAACCTGGCAGGAACAGAGGCCAATCCTACAAAGTGAGGGCCCCAGGTGGTGCTCCTGGGGAAGTGAGCATGTGGGTGCAGGGCTTGGGGACGCCTGGTCAGAAGCAACAGACTGAAGGTCCCCAGCCCACAGGAGGCAGCTTCAGCTGTGGGGCAGGTAAGATGGAAAGGAAGGGAAAAGGAAGAACAGAGGATCCTAACCCTTTGGGGATCCTCTTCCCAGAAAAATGCCCAAAGTGTAGTCCTAGCATGAACACACACAACATTTTGTGTACAGTGCCGGGGGTCCCGGGAGCCCCCAAAGCCCAGCCAGAAACCCAGACTGAGACCCCCCCCTAGTGCAGCGTGTGAAGAGCAGAGGGCCAAGGGTAGAGCCGGCAGCATCAGCACCTAAGCAGGAAGAGAAATGAGAGCCAAGAAAGAGAAGGGACAATGCCCAGGAGAAAGGTGAAGGGGAGTCTCTCCTCCGGCCCTAACAACTCTGAGACCCTGCTGGGAAGAGACCTCGGAGGGGCCGCAGCCTGGAGGGCAGCAGGGAGGAACTGCGGAGGGGGCCTAGCAAGGAGCAGGAGGCCCAGGCCTGCGGCCATCAGCAGTGAGGAGCCCCCTTCCCCCGCCCCCCGTCTCCTCCCCCATATCCACACACAAAGCCCCCAACCACAAGCAGCCAGGCAGGGAGAAATGCCCGCTGCCCGCTGTGGGGAGAGCTGGAGCCAAGTCAGGGCTGAAGCCGGGGGAGGATGTGGCGGGGAAGATCGATGTAACCATGGCAGCCAGCGCCACCCCCTCCACTGCAGCCGGGAGCCCGACACAGGTCATTATTGCCCGGAGGAAGGAAGGGAGACCTCCCGGGAGTGATGCCGCGGCCCCTGGAAGCCTCTTCCTCCTCCTGCAGCCCTGCGGGGGCAGCTTCCTCTCCCGCCTCCCCCTACGTGAGCCCCGAGGTCCCCTGCGGCTCTCGGGACCTGCCGCACCCTGGCCCGCCCCTCCTCCTTGTCCTTCCCTCCCAGGACGCACTCGCGCGGCCCTGACGGTCCCTTCCAGCCCGAAGCGGTCTTCTTTCTCACCCCCTCCTCCTAGACCCTGACCCAGAGCAGCCGCCGCATAAAGAACGGTGGGTAAAGGCACAGACGTTGCAGTCGCACAGGCCTGGTTGAATCCCAGCTCTGCCACCCTCCAGCTGTGTGACCTCGGCCAAATGATTTAATCTCTCTGGGCTTCAGTTTTCCCATCTGTAAAATGGAAGCATACTGCTTGGCGCACAGGGAAGGGCACCACTGGGAGGGCGCCCGGCCGCCTGGGCCCTCGGGCAGGGCGGCCTCAGAGGAGCCAGGTCACCCGGCTCCCTGGACACCCGGTCACGAGGCCCGCCCCCCGCCCCGCGGCGGGTCCGCAGCCAGCCGGCCGCCCGCGCCATTATTAATTCATCAGCTGGAGCCAGCGCCGAGCGGTGCACTCAGAGCTCCCTCGTCAGCCCGCGGGGCCGGCCCCTCCCCCGTCCGGGCGGGCACCGCCCACCGGAAAGATGGGGCTGGGGATGCCACACCTCTGCAGGCCAGCTGTCACCCCTGACCACCACCGTATACATGCGTTCAGGGGGCACCAAAAGAGATGGGGGAAAAGGCTAGGAGTCCCCTGGCCCCGTAGTTCCCTAGGAGGCTCTGGGCCTTGGTTTCCCAGATTTTTCATGACACAACTGAAATGGCGCTGTCCTTGAAGTCACATTTCTCTTAGTGAGGGCTTTTTCTAATCTTTGCTTTTTTATCCCAAGAAGACCTGGGACTTCTCCCTGGACCAATTCCAGACACCGAGGCTGGGAAGTTTCTAGCTTGGGCAGGCCCCCTCAGGGCTCCAGGCCCAGGTCAGAAAGACACTTGAGAGAGTTTCCTCATCTTCTAAATGGGGTGTGGGGACTAGGGCGTACCAACTTCTCGGGGCAGTTGTAAAGAGCAGAAGCCCTGTAAAGGGCCTGGACCTGTCCCACTGGCTCAGGGGAGACCCAGGCAGGGCCCGGGGTTGGGGCGCAGCAGTACCTGTGAGGCAGGGACTGTGGGCCTTCCCAGCTCAAAGGGTTCCCAACCTTTGCGGGGCGGGGGGACCCAATCAGCAGTTAAAAACACAAAACTGGACAAGCTCCTGGAGCCTCAGTTTCCTTGTGAGTTAGATGGTGTCGAGAGGACTTTCTCACCGGGTTACAGGGAGGATGAATGATGAAAATGCTCATCCCGGGGTCTGGAAGGCCGTGGGGTCCTGGGCTTGCATGGGGGCATCTCTGGGATGGAGCCAGACTCCCATCCCTCCACAGAGGGGACAAGAACTGTGCATTCCTGGTGTGGCACAGCAGACTCCAGCCCAGGAGACAAGATCCCTGGGTTCTAGCCCCCGCTCTGCTGCCTGTGTGACCCTGGGCAGGTCGCTTCCCTTCCTAGGCCCTCTGTTTCATCATAAAATTAAAGGGCTTTCTTATTTTTAGCAGCAGAATTCTTTCTTCAAACAAAATCTCATGTAGGACATCAATATCATATATAATATAGACATAAAAGTTGAAGTTCAGTAGCATAACCTTATTTAAAAGTCTAAAATTTTAACATTCACTTAAAGGCAATCACTGAAAATGAGTTTAACACAAAAATTGGGAGAAACAGGATTCGAGCTGAGAGATGCATCAGGCTGAGCATCCCTTTGTGCCTGAAGTTTTTTGGTTGCACAGTACTGAGAAGATCCTGGCAGGAGACGTTCTCTTTGAGGGTCTGTACAAAAAAGGGTTAAGGAGGCAGCTCACGGTCCACACCACAGGTCTCTAGCTGGATTAGGGTTTGGTCTGTAGCAATTTGAGAGTGTGGATATCCTTTTTTTTTTTTTTTTTTGAGGAAGATCAGCCCTAAGCTAACATCTGCCACCAATCCTCCTCTTTTTGCTGAGGAAGACTGGCCCTGAGCTAACATCTTTGCCTATCTTCCTCCACTGTATATGTGGGATGCCTGCCACAGCATGGCTTGATAAGTGGTGAGTAGGTCCACACCAGAGATCAGAATTGGTAAACCCCCAGCCACTGAAGCGGAGCACTCGAACCCAACCGCTATGCCACTGGGCCAGCCCCCAGATATCCTTTTAATCATTAGTTTAAAATCTATCTTAGGGCCAGGCTGTGGCTGAGTGGTTCAGTTCGCGCGCTCTGCTTCAGCAGCCCAGGGCTTCACTGGTTCCAGTCCTAAGTGTGGACATGGCACCGCTCATCAAGCCATGCTGGGACGTATCCCACATGCCACAACTAGAAGGACCCACAACTAAAAGTACTCAACCATGTACCAGGGGGCTTTGGGGAGAAAAAGAAAAAATAAAATCTTTAAAATCTATCTTAAAATAAAATGTGAATCAAAGGTTGGCAACCAGAAAACCAGGGCTCACAGAACAGTATGAAAGCCACTGGACCCTAACCCTAACCCTAACTCTAATCACCACCCTGCCAGCCATGTCCTCGCACACCCTGCACCTCCAAGGAAAGGCTGGTCAGCAACCGCTTCCCCCAAGACTTCTTCACCCTCTATCCTCCTGCCCACACCCCACCCCCGCCACCGGCTTTATGCCATCTGTCCCTGGCTGGGCACACCTGGGTACTGCAGGGGGATGTCAATCTTGGGCCCGATGACATAGTGGCCCTCCTCCAGGGTGTGGGCTGTTACTGTTGTCCACTGGCGGCAGGAGTGAATGAGCAGGATGTCTCGCTCACTGACGCCCTCAGCATACTCCCCTGGGAGGGGCAAGGAGGATAGCAGAGGAAGGAAAGAAAAAAAAAAAAAACGTTAGGAGGAGCAGAAAGCATAGGCAGGGTGACCTCCTCACCTCCTCATCAAGACCCTGCCCGGGGCAGCTCCCCAGGATCCCCGTCCAGGTCAGCAATGCTCGAGGGACAGGCAGGCTGCCAGCTGTGGCCTCGGGCTGAGTGAGCCCCGTCTCTCAGGGCTCAGGCTCCTGACAGGGCCCCAGCAACCAGCCCAGCCGCTGTCCTTCATTCATCATTCAGTGGACTGCCTGCTGTCCCGGGCCCCAGCGGCCCAGCCCAGCCCCTGCCCTCCGGGAGCCCTTCAGCCCAAGGGAGGTGGAAGACATGTGAACAGAGATTACAGGCAAGTGTGAGGCACTGAGTGGAGGGTATCTGGGCTGGCACAGACGGAGTGGCAAGCCAATTGGGGGCAGGGTGAGGAAGGGAGAGCCACTGACCAGCAGACACTCGAGCTGGGCCTCCAAACCACCCAAACTCACACCAGCAGAATTCTCAGCCCCCAAGTCAGTGCCGAGGCCAGGCAAGGAGGGCCTTGTTGGGGGGACGGAGAAGGCTAAGAAGGGACTGTCCCTTGTGGGTCCCAGCTGGGAGGGCTCCCCCAGAGCCATGGGTCACGCGGGTCAGGAGAACGGGAGGGCTCAGAGGAGCTGACACCTGGCTCTCTCAGGGGCAGCCCCTTTCTTTCACCCACCGCACAGGCAGTCTCCTGCCTTCAGGGGACTCAGAGGGGAGGGGAGAAAGTCTCAGGTACTCCCTAACCCCATCTCAAAGAAGCCTCTTCTCAGCTCTCCCAGGCTTTGGAACACAGTAATGGTGGCTGGAGGAGGGGGTGGATTTAGAAGGGGGGGCCTGGTCCTGGGGCAAGCTGCACTGGGGCAGAGGTGCTGGGAGGGGCCTGGGCCCCAGAGGCTCCAACCCCAGCAACGGTTTCCAGGGGAGCAGGAGGGGCTGGCCCAGCTTCCAGGAGGCCAGTGGACCGTCTCCCGGCTGCAGCTGGTAGGCGGATGGGGGTGGGGGAGGCCTCCTTCCCAGCCTCCTCAGACACAACTTAGTAAATTTCTGCCACCTTTACCCTGATGGCCGGGGGCTCCATGAAGTGTATGCATTTGGGGAGGCGGGGATCTGCGAGGAGGGGCTAGCTCCCATGGAGGGGGGAGGGCCTGTCTGAGTCTTTCTCCTCAACTCCTCACCCTCTGGGGCAGAGGAAGCTCTCCTACTCTGGAACCTCCTCCTGAGCTCTCAGAAGCCCCAGCACATCTTTCCAAGAGACACAGGCCACAGCTACACAGGGCACACACCAACAGCCATGGGCCATGGTCACCAACAGCTGAGCCAGCACAGCCGCCTGCCCACAGTGACAGGGGCTTGTCACTCCAATGACACAACTCAGTCCCATGGTCCCACTAAGGGGCCCCTCCCAAGTGCACAGGCACAGAGGGACCTTCAAGACTTCAAGACACACTTGTGATCACATATTCACACGGTGAACAAAGCCACCAGCATCATAGTCAGACAGCCGGGCTATCACGCCAGTTGTTCATTCACTTATCCATTCATTCAGTCCCTCCATCATCTTTATTAGGCAGGATGCCTCCCTCAAGGAGCCTGCAGGCCAGTTAAGACAATAAACTGACTACTGTAACTGGTGAGCAGTAGGAGACATGACAGGGGTGGAGGGGTGTCAAAGGAGGCCTGCCCAGACGGAGGAGCTCAGACAGGACCCCGGGAGGGGGAGATGCAAAGAGGATGTGTGGGAAGTGGCCAGGCAGAAGCTCGGGCCAGCATGTCCCAGTCACATGTAGACACATCCAGCCCTGCTGTCGACAGGGACAGTCTCGGAACCACACGCTGACGATCCCAAGCAAGACGCTGGGCTGCCGGGCACTCCTGCCGACGGCCGGGGCGCCGACGTTCCCACGGAGCCGGCTCCCTGGACACTGTGATGCGCGCTGTGCCCATTCGTCTCCTCGCCGCCGCCGGTTGGAGGAGGGGCTGCCGGGCCCCGCGGAGAGGAGAGGAGCCTGTGGTCGCGGGCCCCATTAGCATTCAGGGAAGCGAGTGTGCCAACGCGGGCCAAACCCCTATTCTTCTCACACACAAAACCCCCGGCCTGGCTGCCAGCCCCGGCTCCTGCCCCTCCCCCAGCCAAGCAGCCCCCTTCCCCCAAACGGTCCCCTCGCTCCTCGTGGCCTCCAGGCGTCCCCTCTCAGGCCCCCAAGCAGGGTCCCATCAGCAGAGCATCCCGGACCCCAAGGAGAAGTGGGACAAGATGTAGGGGAGGGCCGGGGGCTTGGGGGCACGGCCGCCGGGAGGACTCACTCGTTCGGGCCTCCCCCCAAGGTGGCCTGCGCGCCCAGGGACCAGACGCTGCTCCCCGGGACGCGAAAGGAGGGTGCAAGAAGGGTCCCAAGAGGGGCTGAGCGGGGCAGGGGGCCACGGCGGTGGGAAGACAGTTCGATGCCCAAGGGATGCAGGAGGATCTAGGTGAGAGGCCGGAGACAAAGGGACGGAGGGGGGCGCGGCCCGGGCGGGAGGTCTGGGGGGCGGGGGGAAGGGGATGAACCGACGGGGCGGGCGGGCTGGCTCGGCCGCGCTCCGGGCTCCAGCTGGGCCGGAAAACTGTCCGGGACCCGGCCTTAGTCCCTGTCCCGGGTTTCGGTCCCTGTTCCCGTCCGCGGGGCCCAGGAGGAGACGCACCCTCGGCTCATGGGCGCCGGGTCTCCGCGAGAGGCGCGCCAGGAGCTGTGCGGGGTGCCAGCTGGGGAGCGGGAGGGCAGGGCCACATCCTCCCCGCCCCGCCCGCACCTGCCTGGACAGTCCCCGATTGCCCGCAGGCCCAGGGAGCCCTAGCCGCCCTTCCCGGGACCCGCGGTACCTGGCCCGAGGCAGGCGAGCGTGGGCAGGCGGCAGCGACTGACGATGAGGTCGAGCGGGAAGGCGCCCATGCTCCAGCGCAGGCCGGCCAGCCCGGCCGCCAGCTTCTCCATGGCATGGGCGCCCCCAGGGCCGCCGTCCGGGGCCCCGACGGCCAGTCCCGCGCGGCCCGGGCTCCCGGGCCCGCCGCCACCTCCTGGGGCCGCCGCGGCGCTCCCCGCCTGGCCGCCCGGCCCGGGCTGCGGCCGTCACGTGGCCGGTCTCCCCGCGGGGCGCCGGCCCCCGCCCCTCGCCCCACCCCCGGCCCGCGCCGCCGCCAAGGCCCGCCTCCCCGCCGGCCGGCTCGCGCGCCTCGCCCCGAGCGCCAGGTGACAGCCGGGCACCGAGGCCGACGCGAAGCGGGATCTGCAGAGTCGGGGTGGGGGTCGGCCTCCGCGCCCTCCCGCCGCCCGTCCCCCGCCGCGAGCGTGTCGAGACTCCCTTCCCCGCGGAGCGGCGCCTCCTCGCCGGCTCGTGCCTGGCCTCCGGGAGTCGCCGCCCGCCCTGCGCGGTCCTCCTCCGCTTCCCAAAGCTCCTGCCTCGACTCAGTGCTGCGATTTCAGCAGCGATCGCTGCCTCTACGACGTTTGTCACCTCCGGCTTCACACAGCCCAGCGAGACCGCCTCATTCACCCCATTAACTGGTGAGGCTCAGAGAGGTCAAGTGGCAGCCTGGACTCGAACCCGTGTTTAACTACGAATCCTACTGCCGTCCCTGGTTGTCACTGCAGCCTAATACCACCCTCTCGGCCCCCACTCTGGAGCACTTCCCAAATTCCCAACACCCTCTTACCGATTGTCACAAGTCCTGTGAGCCGTAGCTGCAGCATGTACACGGCACACGGTACGTGGTCGCTGCCATCCTGCACATGAGGACCCTGAGGTTCTGGCACGTAACCGGCGGTGGAGTCCTCTCTCTCTCTCTCTCTCTCTCTCTCTCTCTCCCTCCCTCCCTCTCATTCTCTCTCTCTCTCTCAAGCGGTCCCTTCTGTCATTCCCTTCTCCTCATTCGCTCTTCCTTTTCTGCTCTCCTCACCTCCTCCTTCCAACCCCTCCGGCTCCTACTCCGGAGCTTCTCTTGGGAAGCCCTTCCCAGAAGCTGCGGTGGCCTCAGGCGGGCCTCCCGGCCGGAGGGCTCCCTTCGCCCCAGATGGGTCTGCAGCGCCTTCTGCAGGTGATCAGGGGCTAGTGCAGGCCTGTCGAGGGGCCATCTGGCCGCCAAGAAGTGAGCCTTCGCCCCCAGGCCGGTCCTTAAAGGACTCTGGGCTTCAGCGGCTACCTCAGTGAGACCCTCACACACCTACAGACAAAACCATCTCTTCCCAGATGACTGACACCCCCATCGTATGACCTGAACGCCAAGAGAAACGGCACCAGATGAGATGAGCTCAACTTCTCAGCAGGAAGAGACATTTCAGATCACTTGTTCCATCTCCAGCTTTTGCAGAGGAAAGAAACGGAGACTCCAAGAGCAGAAACGCTTTGCTCCAAGGTCACACAGCAGGGAAGAAGCAGGGCTGTGATTAGAACGCAGGCCTCCTGCCTCCAGCCAGTGCCAACTCCACAACCCGCCCTGGCCCAGCACACAGAATTCCTCACCCCGGTCCCCTGGGGAAGGCTGGGCAGCCAGCCCTCAGGCTTTCTCTTCCTTCAGCCACCACAGAGGTCTGACTCCGGATAACCCAGATGGACAGGCTCACTTGGGTCTGTGGGGTGAGGCTGGGTTCTTCTCTAGAAACGTGGGAGAGAGAAACGTGGCAGAAGGGAAGGACAGAGAAAGGTGAAAATATAGGAGTCTGAGGAAGGAATGGAGGGTCTGAGGTAGGAGGATGGGGAGGCGGGGAGAGGCAAATGATTGAAAAAGGGCCTGACTTAGAGTCAATTTTCTTTCCCTCTCCTGCGGTCTCTCTCTTGAGTGGGTGACCATATAATTTGTCATCCAAACTGGGACACTCTTGAGAGTGAAGGAGGTGTTAACTGGGACAACAAGCGTAAACCAGATACTAGGACAGCAGATGTAAACCCAGGCTGGGCCCCATGGCCACCCGACCTCTGAGAGACGCCTCTGCGCCCTGGACGTAGGCGCCGCATCTACAGCGGTTTCTCCTAGTCAGTGTCTCCGGCTCACCTCAGCTCTGGAGCCCAGTTTCCAGCTATGCCCCTCCACCCGCATCGAGGCACTCACAGAGAGTTCACTTCAACAATCGCACTTGAATTTGGTCCTCTTTTATTTTCTATCCCAGCTAAAGATATCACCTTTCACCTGGTCCCCCAATCTGGAAATCTCCTAACCCGTACATGCAACTGGTCACCAAGTCCTAGTAATTCTGCTTCCACATGTGTCAACCCTGCTGTCCCAACCTGGCTTCACTTCCTCCTCCGATCTTCTCTCCCCCAGGCCACCCTTCATTTCATACCAAAATCCCTTTACCTCTGGATTTCGGCTGAGCCAGGGACCACACAGGTGTGAGACATCAGGCAGAGCCACCTAATTGGTTAGACCCACTCCTAACTGTTGTAGAATATTCCAGAGCCTCTCCAGGGCTTTTTAACTGTTCACAAATCTCCAGGGACCTGACACAAGTGCCCAGACACATTCATCGCTTGATTTGCTTGGGGCTCAGGAGCCACACAGGAGGGAACTCATCTTCACTGAGAGTCAGAACCTCTGAGAGCGGTGCTTGGGCTGGGATTGCTGGAGAATGGCTGGCAGGACAGAGAGCCAGGAAGCACCATGAGGGAGGAGGATGTTCAGCATTGAGGCCAGACTGAGCAGCTGGGTCTGGAAAGGAAAGAGTCAGGGGGCCTAAGTGTGCATGAGGGTGCGCCTGAGCTTCCCACTTGAGGGAGTCTGTATGGGGGAAAGAGAGGGCTGAGGGGCAGAGGCAAGAGTGGGTCACTGGGGGGCCGGCCCGGTGGCGCAGCAGTTAAGTTCGCACGTTCCACTTCTCAGCGGCCCAGGGTTCGCCAGTTCGCATCCCGGGTGCAGACATGGCACCACTGGGCAAAAGCCATGCTGTGGTAGGCGTCCCACATGTAAAGCAGAGGAAGATGGGCATGGTATGCCTCAGGATCAGTCTTCCTCAGGAAAATGAGGAGGATTGGCAGCAGTTAGCTCAGGACTAATCTTCCTCAGGAAAAAAAAAAACAGAGTGTGTCACTGGGATCTCAGCTGTTCTGCTGTGGGTTCCACCTCCAACAGGATTGGTAGTGACAAGTAGAAGGTGGTTCCCTACTGGCTGGAGGGGAAGACACACAAGAGGTCAGTGGTCTGGAGGAGGGGGCCATAGCCCTGGCAGAGGTGCACTGTTGACCCAGAGGCCAGGCTGTGGCAGAGGTTGGCCAAGTTGCTCGTGAGTGGGCAGAGTGGTCAATGGAGTAGAAAGATGGTGGGAGATGCCAGCAGTGGCTCGGGTTGTGTGTAAAACAACCCCCACCCCACCCCCCCACCCCATCTAGGGGACAGATGGCCTTCTCTGAGCCCATGAACAGGGAGAGGCCAGAAAGGACTTGAGCAAACACCTCTAGGTATCCAATTTTTCTTTCAGGAAATTCTAAATGTAAACAAAAGTAGAGATAACAATATTATGAATCCCTATGTACTCATCTCCCATCTTCAGCGGTTATCAGTCCATGGCTGATCTTATTTCTGTTTACTTCCCCTCCTCATAGAAGTTTTTTTTAAACATCAACTTTATCGAGATATAATTCACATACTATACAACTCATCCACTTAAAGTATACGATTCACTGTTTTTAGTAAATTCTCTGTCTTGTGCAACCATCACCATGATCTAATTCTCAAACACGTTCCTCCCTCCCTGAAAGAAAGTCTGTCCCGGTTCGCAGTCAGTCCCTCTCCCCAGCCCACCCTCTATCTGTACACAACAACCGGGCTACTTCCTGTCTCTATAAATTTGCTGATTTCGTACATTTTCATATGACTAGAATAATCAAACATGTGGCCTTCTGTGACTGGCTTCTCTCACTTAGCGTAAATTTCAAGGTTCACCCGTGTTGTGGCGTGTATCAGTGCTTCATTCCTTTTACCGCTGAGGAACAGTCCAGTGTAGGGGTATATCACGTTTTATTTATTCACTAACAAGTTGATGAACATTTGGATTGTTTCTACTTTTTTGGCATCATGAACAATGCTGCTGTGAAGATTTGTGTACAAGTTTTTGTGTGAACGTATGTTTTCATTTCTCACCTGGTGGTAGAATTGCCAGGTCCTATGGTAACTCGATGTGTAGCTTTTTGGAGAACTGCCAGACTGTTTTCCAAAGTGACTGCAGCATTCAACATTCCCGCCAGCAATACATGACAGTTCCAATTTCTCCACATCCTTGCCAACACATTGTCTGTCTTTTTAATTACAGCCATCCTCGTGGATATGAAGTGCTATTTCATTGTGGTTTTGATTTACTTTTCCTTAGTGACTAATGGTGCTGAGTATCTTTTCACGTGTTTATTGGACATTTGTATACTTTCTTTAGAGAAATGTCTATTCAAATCCTTTGGCTATTTTTAAACTCAGTTATTTGTCATTTTATTGTTGAGTTGCAAAAGTTCTTTGTATATTCTGGATGTAAGTCTTTTATCAGAGAGAGAATTTGCAGCTATTTTCTCCCACTCTGTGGGTTGTGTTTTCACTCGATGGTATTATGTGCAGCACAGAAGTTTTTAATTTTGATGAAGTCTATTTTTTTTTCTTTTTTGCTTGTGCTTTTGGTGTCATATCTAAGAAACTATTGTCTAACTCAAGGCCACATTTACTCCTACGTTTCCTTTTAGCTCTTCCATTTGGGTCCATGACCCGCTGAGGTAATTCTTGTGTACAGTGTGAGGTAAGACTCCAACGTCATGCTTCTGCACGTGGATGTCCAGTTGTCTCAACACCATTTGTTGAAAAGCCTATTCTTCCTCCCATTTAATCGTCTTGGCATCCTTGTCAAAGATCAGTTGAACATAAACCCCCTCACAGAACTTTGAACAAATCTTGGATATCATTTCATCTATAAATATTTTAATATGTGTCTCCAGACAGGAACTTTTTTTTTCTTACAAAATATGACTACAGTAATACTACACAACTGAAAAACGAACAATATTTTCCCCATATCATAAAATATTTAGTCAGTATTCATATTTCCCCAACTGTCTTGTTGGGGAATTTATTTACAACTTATTTGAATCAAGGTCCCAATAAGATCCATACATTCTTTTCCTCGCAATTTATTTGTAGAAGAAACTGGAATGTTTGTCCTGTAGTGTTTCCCACAGACTGGACTTTGTTGATTCAGTCCCTTAGGGTAGTTTAATATGTTGCATTTGGTAGTAGAATGTAGGTAGTCAATCAAATCCAGAGTGAGTCCTGTTTTTTCGTCATAACTACATTCTAGGAGGAGGTGGGTCTTCCCTCAGGAGGCACACAATGTCAGGTTGTCTCCATTTCGTGATGTCAGCAGCCATTGCTGATCATTGCCTAAGTGTCACCCTCCCTTTAAAACACCTAATTTCCCGAGATAGGACTGACTCATCCTTTCTAAGTGTGCACACCACACGCTAGCGTAGAATTTATTATATTGTCTTATGGTCATTTACTTATATACCCCTCCCCCATTGCATCTATTCACATTTCATTCTCCACAGGAGCCGACACAGTATCTGGCCTACAGCAGACATCCACAGACAAGGCGACACGGCCCTGGGGCTCAGAGGATGGCGCTTGAAGTCCAATGGCTGTGCAAGTTACTTCGCCTTTTTCCAGTGGGGGCAGGAACCAATTCTCAAAATTTCAGGAACTTCACAAGTGTGTTATTAAGCACAGCGATTATTAAAAATTACATTATAAAAAGTTACAAATAAATTATATTAAACAACCATAATAAATACTTAAAACTCGTCACTTCCCCATTATTTCATTACGTTTTACTGTTTTCTGTGCTCTTGAGGTTCTTTATGTCTCTTGTGTCTGTAAGGTGGGAAAACCACACAATGGTGTGCTGCTGTTCATCTCTTCCCAACTCCGTGTGCAGTGACGTCACGTTGACAACTTGAAATCAGCCATGATGGGAATATTTGCACCACAGAAATTGGCAAATGCTATGAATCAAGATTTTTTTTTTTCTGGAGAGTGGTTTTAAAACATTATCAGTATACCATTGTCTCCCATTGTTAGATGGGGATAAAAATAGTGCCCACTTCATGTAGGATGTGTATAAAGCACTTAGCACAGTGTCAGATACACATTTTAATAAACAGTGGTCATAAATATTATTATTTGTATCTCCTCATCTCTGGACTGTACTGTCATTAGGCATTTCTAAGGCAAATGCACCATGAAATATTATGTACCCATTGGAAATGATCCCTACAAAAGAATTGTAGTTATTTGAGAAAATTCTCATGGTGTTATGTAGAAAAGTCAGGCTATAACGTTTTTTTAAAAAGGTTTATTTTTTACTCACAATTCTTTTTTTTGGTGAGGAAGATTGGCCCTGAACTAACATCTGTAGCCAATCTTCCTCGTTTTGGGGGTTTTTTCCTCCCCAAAGCCCCAGTATGTAGTTGTATATCCTAGTTGTAAGTCATTCTAATTCCTCTAGATGGGATGCCACCACAGCATGGCTTGATGAGCAGTGTGTAGGTCCACACCAGGATCCCAACCGGCAAACCCCGGGCCTCCGAAGGGGAGCAGGGGAACTTAACCACCCGGCCCCAGGCTATAACATTTCACAAATGACCCAATGAACCGTAAGAAAAGGAACAATCAAGGGAAACATGCTCTAATGTTAAAAGTGTTTGTCTGGGTCATGGAAGAGGTGATTTTGTTTCCCTGCTTTCTAAATGTTTTCCAAAGATATATACAGTGGAGAGGCATTTATTCGATAATTAAAAGCCAGTTCAAACTTTACAAATGAGGGAATGGGGCTTGGTATCGAGGCCCTGCCGGCCCCCAATATTCTGATTTAGGAACATTGTCCAAGCAGGCGTTTTGCTGCCCAGGGGACGGAGCAGCCAGGCCTCCCAGCAAAGCTGGGCCCCTCTGGGGTGAAGGCCTGTCGGGCCCTGGGGGTGGCAGGTACTCCACAGCGGGGTGCAGCCAGCTTGCCACCTCATACCTCATAGGGCGCCAGGGAGAGTACCACCCTGTGTCCTCATTCAGCCTGTTTCTTTGATAAAAGAAATTCTTTCACGACCTCTTTATTTCAGGTTTATTACTTGCATTAAGCATACATAACCACTTGATTTATTTGGAGCTGTCTTTCATTTCACTCACAATCACTAAATAATTTCCAGAGATAGAGTTCAACGTTTTGTTCAAACTGTGGTTACTGTTCTTCAGATTGTCTTTTGCAATATCAAGGATCAGACAACTTACGGGGCATATGACTTAAACAATAGAACTATTTCTCTCAATGAGCAGCTCCAGCCAGACATTATACAGACTCAGAATTGTGACTGTGCCCTCAGGTGTCTCTCAGCCGAATGCTCTCAGGGTCAGCAGCAGGGCTGTGGTCACACCATCCCCATGGGCGTCGCCTGCGATGTGCAGTGGAAATAGGTATCAGTTTTATATGGAATCGCATGTGGACATCAGCTTAAGCGGCATCATGGTTCTTATTTATTCCAGCGATATTTTAGCATCCATATAGAGGATATCTTCTATTTATTCCCTATTGGGCAATTGGATAATATATATCAGGAGCCTTTAAAATGTGTATATCTTTCAGAATGGGCTAGGTTAGGGTGGAATTGCAAACATCAAAATCTCAATGGCTTAAATCAACAAAGTTTTATTTGTCACTTACACTACATCTTCACTGCAAGTCACCTGGGGATCTGACCTGAGACATCTTCCCTCCTGGACCCAGGCTGATAGAGGAGCCACAATCTAGAACGTTACTGATCAGGGTGCAATGGGAATGTGGCCATGGGATTCCTAGCAAGCAGGGAAGTTCAATCCTACCACGTGTCTGGAAGGAGAGCTGGAAATGTTGGTGAGCGGCATTAACAACTATGACAATGTACTTCACCTTTGACCCCTCCAAAATCAAGAATTTATGCTGAATATATAATGACGAATTGGCTCAAAGATTTAATTATGTGATGTTGATAACAATGTTGCTTGTGATGATTGAACTTCAGAAACAATCCAAGTGTCAATCAACAGGGAAATGGTTATAGGACGTCCATCCAGCAGAGCACTATGCAGCTGTTAAAAGTGATATTGCAACAGTAAATATGAGTTGAAGTCCTAAGAAAAAAAATAGTGAACAAAAATATTTTCACAATATGAGGCCGGCCCTGTGGCCGAGTGGTTAAGTACACACGCTCCACTGTGGCGGCCCAGGGTTTCGCTGGTTCGAATCCTGGGTGTGGACATGGCACCACTCATCAAGCCATGCTGAAGTGGTGTCCCATGTGCCACCACTAGAAGGACCCACAACTACAATATACAACTATGTGCTGGGGAGATTTGGGGAGAAAAAAAGGGGGAAAATGTTGAATAAGAGGTGAAAGTGACATCCTTGCCTTGTCGCTATCTTAGAAGGAGCGTCTTTGGTCTTTCACCATTGAGTGTGACGTCAGTTGTAGGTTTTTCGTAGATGACCTTTAGCAGGTTGAGGAAGTTCCTTTATACGCCTACTATTTTGTTGTTTTCTCTTCATCTCTTCCGTTTTTCGTTCCTCTGGTTCTTCCTTTCCTGCTTCCTTTTTCTTTGTAAAGAAATCTATTTTATTTTTTCTATCAGCTTTTTAGCTACACTGTGTTCCACTATTTTATTTTTTATTTACTTACTATTTTTTCGGTGGTTGCTCTAGGGAGTACGTTATTCATTCCTAAATTTTCACAGTCTGGGTAGAGTTAACGTTGTACCGCTTCATATTAAATGTAGGAAACATGTAACATACAGATCCATTTATCCCCTCTCCAATAGACTATAGTGCTCTATGTATTACATCTATATGTATTTTATTAACCAAGCAAGACAACGTTGTCCTTATTCCTTCAAAGAGTCATATATGTCATAATGAAATGAAGAGGAAAAAAAGAGACCTTTACATTTACCCATATATTTACCATTCCTGATACTCTGTTCCTCTCTGAGGATTCAAGTTTCTATCTGGTCTTATAACCCTGCAGCCTGTAGGACTACTAGCATTTATTGTAGTGCAAATCTGCTGGCAATGAATTCTGTCTTTTCTTTTATCTCAGAACGTCTATTTTGGGGCCGGCCCGTGGCCGAGTGGTTAAGTTCGCACGCTCTGCTTCGGCGGCCCAGGTTTGGCTGGTTCAGATCCTGGATGCAGACACGGCACCGCTCATCAGGCCATGCTGAGGCGGCATCCCACATGCCACAACTAGAAGGACCCACAACTAAGAATATACAACTATGTACTGGAGGGATTTGAGGAGAAAAAGGCGGGAGGGGGGAGAAGATTGGCAACAGTTGGTAGCTCAGGTGACAATGTTTTTTTTTAAAAAAAAGAATGTCTATTTTACCTTTATTCTTGAAAAATATTTTCACTGGCTATAGAATTCTGGGCTGACAACTTTTCATTTCGGCCTTTACAGACTTAGTCTCACTTGTATCTGTATCTGTGGCTCACCCTCAGGGGCTTCATTTATCTGCTTCTTTGCATCAAGGCCGGAGTTTATCTTTCTTCCTCTGGGGAGTTGCTCTGGTGGCATCTCATTCAACCATCACCAGAAGCAGAAGTGTCCCGATTTTATCTTTCAATTAAACTTTTTCTTTTGAAAAAAGCTAAACCTCTAGAAAAGTTGCAAGGATATTAAAACAAACTCCCACATGTCCTTCACCTAGATTCATAATATGATACATATTATTCTTTTTTCTCTGAACCATTTGAAAGTAAGCTCCAGACATCATGCCCCTTTGCCCGTAAACACTCATTCAGTGTGTGTTTCCTGAGAACTAGGACATTGCCATGCAGCCAGAGTTCAATTATTAACTTCAGGAGACTTAATATTGATACATAATATTCAGTCTATATTCTTTTTTTTTGAGGAAGATTAGCCCTGAGCTAACATCTGCTGCCAATCCTCCTCTTTTTGCTGAGGAAGACTGGCCCTGAGCTAACATCCGTGCCCATCTTCCTCTACTTTATATGTGGGATGTCTACCACAGCATGGCTTTTACCAAGCGGTGCCGTGTCCGCACCCGGGATCTGAACCGGCGAACCCCGGGCCACCGAGAAGCAGAACATGCACACTTAACCGCTGTGCCACCGGGCTGGCCCCTATATTCAATTTTTTATTATCCCAATATTGTCCTTTATAAAATCTTTTCCCAAGATTTAATCTAGGATCATGCATTGTATTTAGTTGTCATGTCTCTAATCTAGAACAGTTCGTCAGCCTTTTTTCATCTTTTAAGAAATTGACGTTTTTGAAGAGTGCAGACCACTTGTTCTGTAGAATGACCGGTTTGGGCTGATGCATCACTGTCAGGAATATTCAGCACATCACATCAGGGGACATGCGATGTCAGCTTGTCCCATTTTTTGTGATGTTAAGTTGGATCACTTGGTTAAGTTGGCATCTACCAGGTGTCCTCACCGTAAAGGCACCCTTTTTCCCTTTGTGATTAATAAAGAATCGGTGGGAAGATGTTTGTGACTGGGGACACAGCCTGCTCCCCAGCACACTTGCATCCAATGATCGCATCCATTGCTGATTCCTGCCTGAGTCAGTTATCACCGTGATGGTTGTGAAATGGTGATTTTCTAACTCCATCATTCCACACACACGTATTAGTTGGCATTCTACTGTAAAGAGGAGCTTGCCCTCCCCTTCCCCTTGTTTATTATCAATTCATGAATTCTTTCAAATTCTTTATTTATTTTGATGCTCAAACTGTCCTGTATTTGACCAACAGGAACACCTTTCAGCTAGTTCCTGTGTCCCGACTGCATGGTCCCATAATTCTTCAGAATTTTCCTTACTTTCTGGAACAGTAGGCTATTCCAGGCCCATTCTGCACTTTGCTGGCCAGGCCTGGAGTCAGCCACCTCTTCCAGGACTGCCACTTCCTTTGGGTGATTTGTGGACTGTGCTCTGGGCAGCACCACCTGTCGAGTCCCGGGGAGAGATGCCTGTCGTAGTTGAAAACAACTAAGAGATTGCGTTGTCATCTGAGGGAACCGTGTCCACAATTCTGTCTCGTTTCTGCCTATCTCTGTGGATGGAACACGACAGTCACTGCCCTCTCTGCTGGCAGACTGGATAGACCAAAGGACAGTCTGGAAGCCCTTCTTACTGCTGAAGTTTGGAGCGCCACATGGATATTGTCATCATATGTTCTCATAAAGGGCTGGGACATTCATAAGGACATTTAAAAAAATGAGCTCATTTTGTTGCCTTTCAACCCTCATTAAAGTCAGGGTATAACATTTGTCTGTTTCCTTTTCTTAAGTGCCCTACAATGAGGAGCAGTTCATTTAAGACCTTCT